GGTCTTAAACGTACAAATAAGCTCAAGCAATGTCAATAATTATAAAATCACAGAAATATTTCAGTTGAATACAACAAAATACGATATTTTAGGTCACACGAATGAGATTGCAGTAACACGAATGATTTTCTCATAAACATATGTTAGAAACACCTAGCCCGGAGGGGGCGGGGACAAGCGTCACCTGATTGTGACGTAGCATGGCGTGATCGGCTGACTGGCCGGGTGGAGGAAACCTGCTCAGGCGGCGCGCCGGGCAGCTACTTGACTTGGCCTGAGACCTTTGGACGCGCTGGACGTTTATTAGTGTGCTCTCGACGCGTTTACTTCTCGTTGATTTGTATAACGTCCCGTGCTTTTCATATTTGAATATTAGATTTTGTAACCGATTTTTATTTCATTAAAATTATTCTTAATTTTTAGTCGTTTTTATGATTTCTGGTATAGATTTCTAACATAATGAGAAAGACGGCACAGTAATGAGAAATTATTATTAAACACAAATTTTATAGTTCAAAAAAGAACATTTAACATCATTTAACATGTAACAAATATTTTAATATAACTTCTTGTATCAAAATCCTTCTCATCCGTGTAAGACCATCTATCTATCTATATGTAATTAATAAATAAATCTAAAGAAGTATTTTGTTAATGTCATATAAACTTTGTTGTACATCAATATATCATCATCACCACAATCAACATCATCATCATGATCACCATTATCATCAGCATCATTACCATTCACATCATAATCACAATCATCGTCATCATCACCACCATCATCATCGTCACCATCACCATCGTCACCACCGTCATCGCCACCACTATCACCATCTAATTGTTATATTTCAAGCAAATGTTTGGCTTAAAGTAACTATTTGACTTAAAAGTAGACAAGAATGAGGGCGACAATAATGATATTTGGATACATTTTTAATTGTCAAGTGTGTAAAATATGCTGGACCGTTATAAAAGTGCATGGACTTTAAAGTTCCTTTGTCTGATTGATGTACAATAAAGTTTATAAAACTATTACTTAATATATATAATAACCAAAGAACTCGATATTACTTAATACTTATTTAGATAGATTGCTTTACATGAATGAGAACGATTTAGTCACTAGCGCTGAATTGGTATTTAAGTCAATTTTTTGCTAAAACGGAGATGCACAGGTTACTTCACTGTGTACATTCCAATCCGACAGGAGCCCCTTCACACGTGTGCGATGGGAGAAGGTGATGCGGTATTAACTTTTGTTATTAGGAGGCTTTTAGTTAAATGACAGCAGCGGACATACGGTGCACTGCGCGTTCAGTATAACAATGCGTTCAGGATGCTGTTCCGACTGCCACATTTCTGTAGCGCATCAACCATGTTCGCTGATAAACGTGTAGACGATTTTTACGCTATCATACGAAAGCGAAGTGCGTCGCTACTCGGTCGCATGCGTGGCAGCACAAACAGCATCCTCAACACATTGACAGATAGGTGGGAGTCCCCCATGTTGTGGCGGTGGATGCGTTTGCACACTGCTAGCTATTTACTGCTCTAACATTGGCTGGGCAGTTATCCTCCCGCCTATTAAACAAATTATTATTTAATTATTATTAGTATTGTCTTTATTTTTATTTTTATGTTTAAACTAACACTAGCTTAAGTACTTTTTATTAACAAATATTATGGATCACGTTGTCTGAGAATAAAATTATTATTATTATTATAATTATTATAATGATAAGAAAAATTGAAAGACATTTTGTATTCCCAAGAAAACATGTTTGTTTATAATAAATTGGAAAGTTACGGTATGTATTCGACGTAAAAGTTATTAGATTTTATCCTCGATGGGAATATTGCGATTTCCACGAGTGTTTAGGTTTTTCTTTTTTTCTAAAAATTAGGGCGACTTGGAACCGGATCCCATGAATGAGAACATGCTCACTTTTTCAATTTTTATTTATTACTGTGACGTAGTAAAGTAGTCTTTTTATGTGTAACACAGATTAAGTAAGCAAGCTATCATATTAAATAAATAATGCTTAGCATTCATGTAATAACATAAAAGTTATTGAAAGGGACACATTTTTGGAGGTTATCTGAAAACGACCCCAACGTTGTTCGCCTTCAACAATTCATTTATCTGTCTGGCCGTGTGAGAACTGTCATTATCGTGGTGCAAGAATCATCTTGCGTTTACGGTTATTTTTACGGAGTTTGTCAATAACTTCCGGCAAACAAATGGTCGTATACCAAGAACTATTCACGGTACAACGATTTTCCAAAGCAACAGTAGCCACGAGTCCAGTTTTATTAAAAAAAGAAGCAATCATCCGCTTAGAGGCACTTTGCACGCGCGCCACTTTGGTTGGTTTCGGCTCATCTCGAAAGACCCATACGCTCGATTGCTGCTTTGTTTTGGGTTCGTAACTATAAATCCATGTTTCGTCACCTGTTACTATTTCCCACACACACCAAATTTGACGCCCCTTCGTTGAATCTGGTAAGCATGGCATTGCAGCAAGTGACGCGATCCGTTTTTTGAGGCTCAGTCAAATTGTGTGGGATCCACCGAGAACACTTCTTTTTCACACTCAAATGTTTGTGTAGTATTTGATTGTATTTGACTCATGGTATGTCACAAGCCTGTCTGTTTTGACCATATGGCACACAGCATCGACGTTTTTGTTGTTCACAGCAAAGTCGTAGAAAATCATACTACGAAAATGTTCACGAGTTAAATCCATGGTGATGTAGACAACCAATTTCTAAAATGACGCCACATTGTAAAAACAAGTGACAGTCAGATGAAACAAACTGTATTCTACAGCCAAAGAGTTCCATTTTCAAATGTTATAATTACTTTTTAAATATTGTTTATGTAAGTGGCCAGTTCCGGAAACTTATAGTGCGCCCTTTGTATCAGTTTTAGAGAAATGTAAACAATGGAGTAAAATCTTGTTATAGTATAAAATGTTTGTGACAAACATAAAAAATCTCTACCTGATAAAATACTTCGCTTTCTAAGAGTGACCACGGAAAATGTTCGCTATCATCATTACCCATCAGAAGACATTTGTATTGAAGCTGCTGATATCACGCTAGCAACAGACGAAATCATACTGTAATCCGATAATGAGGAAAAATTTTCCAGGATAATTTATCTTTATTCACACAAAGTAATGCACGAACGTGAATATTATAACAAAATATACCAATATTATGTAACATATATTGTTTTAAACTATTTTTGACATAATTACTCAATTCAAAATTGTAATTTTTTTAATTTTAAACTTCAATTTAAAATTTTTATTGAATTGACATTCAATTATTTTTTGTGAAATGACTCCACTAGTTTGTTATAATTATTAATACAAAGATCGAACACTCAGAATAATATAATAAGAAAAATATAATATAAAAATATAATACAATAAAAATAATTACTACAATTTAATTTATTTCACTTGATTCTAAATTTAACTAACGTAACTTAAAAATGTAAAATGTAAAATGAAAAATGAGGATGTCTCAACTAAAATAAAATAGCACACTGTGCCCTGTAAACTTGGCAATTTCGACATACAATACTTTACGTACGAAGGGTGGATGTGTAATGGAAGACATAACAACAAATAATCTATTTTTTGGTATAATAACATTTGATATAATTTGTAAGGATATAATCACTCACTGTATATAATCAACAAAAGGTATAACAACAAAAAGCATAATTTCAATGTATATAATGAACCTTCAGTATGACAAACATTAGATATAAAGATTAAGTGACATAATAAACAAAATGGTATAAGTACTACCAGTATAATTCATTAAATAATGTAACACAATATTTCGTTTTACAAATAGTTGAAGCTTTGAAGCATTGAATTGTAAAAAAAATTCTTTTTTTTTACAAAAAGAATTTTTTTATTCAATTAAATGTACAATCGCAAAATATAAAATTAGGAAATGAAACTATTTTTCCGGATTTAAATCGCGTATATTTGTTTTTTCAAACAAACCAACGTTTTGGTCTCGTCAACCGTGTCCATGGGACCTGTAAAGGGCCCGAAACATAGTTTTGTTTGAAAAAACAAATATACGCGATTTAAATCCGGAAAAATAGTTTCATTTCCTATGTGTAACAATCGCGAAAACCTAAGAACTCAATAAATATAAAATTGTTTTTGTATAGCTTTAAGTGCTTTTTGTGTTACAAAATATATTTATTAAAACTTTAAGCAGAATATTTAATTGCATATACTAACCTAACCCAAACCCACAGGAGGAGGTCGAACCAACTAGCAAATGCAAACAAATTCGATTCTGGCAGCTTTGTCATATACTAACCTAACCTAAACCCACAGGAGAAAGTCGAACCAACTAGCAAGTGCAAACAAATTCGATTCTGGCAGCTTTGTCATATACTAACCTAAGCTAAACCCACAGGAAGAGGTCCAACCAACTAGCAAATGCAAACAAATTCAGTTTATTCACCATTGCACCTAAACACCACTGGAATTATAGTAATTATTTTTTCTCACATACACATTCAACATTATACTCAGTGAATGTTATATCTGAAGTGTTTCTATAAAATGAACATTATGCCATTGGTATATTAGATTGAAAGTTGTTATATCAATTGTCTATTATACCCAGTGACCTTTATATCACGCAAGAATATGTCAAAAGTCTGTAAACCATAAATTAATTATATCTGTTGAGCGTTATATCGAATAAAAATATGTCATTTGTTGTTATATATTAAGAATCTCACCCAATACAATCGGTCAATATCTGCAATTGATGGTTGACAACTTTTTTAGCTGGTCCAGGACTGTACGGAACTTCGGCATTGTTCTTTAAATATGGTTCAACAACAAGATGTTACAATTACACTGCTTACAGAATGGTAAATACATTTCACAATGCTGTATAAAAAATCAATTTTGGTACAATGAAGTAATGTTTCTAGGTTTACAAACCTTCATGGTGATCAGGCATCTTCAGATCTAACCGAAAAAGCTTTCCGTTGGCCATAGCTAGCACCAAATAGTCGCTGGCGACTGCGACGTGGGTGATGGAATCCGAAGGATTAAAATTCATTTTCTGCTTGGAAAACATTGGCGTATTGTCTTCGAACTGCATGTTGATGTATCCAGAAGACGTCATGGGCTCGGTAGCAGGCTTCGCGCGCTGAGACACCTGCGAAGCCTGCTCATATTGATCGAAAATCGAAGTCATATTTATCGTGACAAAGGACGACGAAGGAGTAACTATCTATAAACGCTGTCGTACTCCTTATTTACTTAGGCAGCAGATGTAAACACTTCGTTGTCGTTTTAATGCAAAATGGTTTAACACTATGCACTGCATGCGACGGTTTAACACTATGGTTTATTAATAAATAAACAATTCAACTTGATTCAAGGAATTAGAATTTTTTAGACAGGAAAAGAGTAATATTCATTCGTAACTTTTTAAAATTTTTTTTTAAATGAATGGCTTGTGAGGCTACTACGTCTCAATTCTGCCAGTTCGTTTTATACGTTATGGAGAGTGCGTTAGAATTTTGTCCGGTGACTCAGAGGGAGAATCGAAGATATTTTTGCACAAATTGAATTCTAGAACAAAAGAGACGGCACAAATTAGACAACACAAGTCGTTAGAAACATGTATATATACCTATAGGAATGAAACTATTTTTCCGGATTTAAATCGCGTATATTTGTTGGTCATGTGACCATGCGACCTGTAAAGGGCCTGAAACGTCGGTTTGTTTGAAAAAACAAATATACGCGATTTAAATCCGGAAAAATAGTTTCATTCCTATGTATAACAATCGCGAAAACCTAAGAACAACGAAACATGTATATATGTTAAATATAGTGTTACATGTTGTTGCAATGTTGCATGAATAATATTTACAGTTTAATTTTATTTATATGGATGAATTTTAAAAAAATATGATACATTTTGGGTGAGAGGATAGGGCCAAAAGGCATTTAAAGGAAGTAGGACGAAGGATAGAGGGAGGGAGGACTCAAAAAGTAAATTCGTGGTGATTTCCCGAAATCTTGACTGTGTTCCAACTATATCAGTGGCTGGTAAATATGTCGAGCGCGTTCGGCAGTACAAGTATCACGGCGCTTGGGTTAATGAAGCATGGGATTTGGACCAGGAGATAAAAACTCGGATTGAGACCGCCCAAGAGTCTTTCTTGAAAATAAAAAGGGTGTAGTGCTGCAAACTTTACATACAACTTAGGCTCCGTATCCTCCACTGTTATATCTGGCCAAGCTCCCATATCTTTCAACGTTAGTTTTCATTTTAGTGACCCTCCCTACCTACCCTTAGGGCATACAAGAAGGGCACTATAACCTGTGCACGCACAGGAACCTTATAAGTTCAGGTTCTGACCCCAGATCAGCCAGTGTGCAGGGTTGTCACAGACCTCTGTCACTTGACTTCATCCGGTTCTTCGACAGGCTAGTGCCTCGGGTGAGCCGTCCCGGATGCACGTACAGTACCCTCCCTATTTTCGAGATAGGTACCGGAGCTATAGGCACGCTCAAGTTGCCACAGCCAAGCCGTCGAAGACTCTGAGTCCACTACCCAATTTCTTCATTGGTGGCGGAGCTGTAAGCCACGCTCACTTCCCGACGCCGAAAAACGACGTCTCTCCAGTTACCAATAACCTAAGCGGCTGGAAGGACCTGAGGATATCTAGCTTATCCTCTACTAGCTCTCCGGGCTAGTGCCGGAGATGCCAGTCGCTGTGTCTTGCGAATGTATCAACATTACGTAATGTATATGTATTCGTATGTACATTTGATATAATAAATTTATGTGTGTATTTATTGAGTATAGTACATTCCATTTCTTTATTTATCTATTTTTAGTGCCACCTCAAAAACCAACTTTCAGATTTTCAAAGGTTGCTTGGAAGAAAACTGTTTATGGGATAAGCTCACCTTTGTACACAAATATTTAAGTTGTTTCTGAAAATTTGTAATTTACTTCGTGGTACAATAAAGTGTTTAGTTTTACGTGTAATCTTTCTTTTCTGTTGTCTAATAAGTTGAGTGTCTTAACCTCCTCGATCTTAGTTTTCACGGATTGAAAATTGCGTTATAGTGTTTAGTTTAAAAAAAATAGCATTTTGATTATATTATAGAGTATATACAGTAGTAACTGCCTACGTAGCCGAACGGTTACCAACGGACTGCCGCGTAGAGGTCCCGGGTTCGATTCCCGTGCCGGAAGAATATTTGTATGGCCTACAGTTTTTCTCATGACTTTGGGTGTAATTTCTGGTTGTCTATGTGTATGTTCCCAAGTGCGGGGCTATGAGTGTGTAAAAAAATGAAAGTATGTTGATTTGCACTCTCGCCATATTTAAGAAATTAATAATAAAAATAATGCTAAATCATCTAAAAATATTCTGTTGAATATCCTGGCTAATTATATCTGGTATAGTTTTGCAAAATTGCCCCTAAATTGTATGCACCGTGCGAGAGCAGTGACCCCGCCACTCGCTTCACCAAGCGATACATAATCGTTCTCGATCGCTTGTTTACCTATTTTTTTAAATTATGATTATGACTAGTATTGTTATCATTTACTAATTATTTACATTAATTAGAAAAGTTGACTGAAAAAAGTTTTTTTGTAACATATATTTGGTACTTACCAACTTTAGGTTACATGGAAGTATTGCTAGAAGTACCTGGCTCCACAGCTCAGCACGCAGAGATTGGTACGTAAGTTTCGTTTCAACTTTCTTAGCGCATTATTTGACTATAGAAAAGCAAGATGAAGCATTTGCAGTGTCTTTGGACATTTTTAAAGCCTTTGACAGGGTCTGGCACGCAAGCCATTTAAGTAAGCTTCTCTTTTATGGGCTTCTTACTGACCTTTGCAATTGGATCTCGGATTTCTTGAGCGAACGTTCGATTCGAGTGGTCTTAGAAGGCTACTCTTCCGAACATATGGCGATAGATACCTAAGGAATAATAGAAGACTAAGCCCAGAGACAACGGTCTCTGGACTTAGTCGTAGGGATCCATATTATCTGCAACTGTCTTTCTGCTGCACATCAATGATATGATGTGAGTGCGTGCGCATAAAAACACTCCTCCTCAAATTAAAACTTAACATTTGTTTAATTTGCTACAAAAGCGCAATTTCGAACTTCAGCAACTATAATACCTACACAAAAAAACTTGCGTGATTTTGCAAAACAGTACACTTCAGTATAAAAACAACAACAATTATTTTAAAATACATTTCTCATTTGTTACATATTAAAAAACTAAATCAAACAATTATTACACAACATACAAATCTTTTGTTACTTTCACGACTTATACTGTTCATGTTACTCTCCTCCTAAATGATAACATGTTAAATTGGTACAACATTTGTCATTTACTCAACAACATATAAAATTAACACATAAACCTGTTTATGAAAGTATAGCCAAATATCAGCCAAATTTTCTGCAGATGTAATGTATTCAATGTTTATAACATTACTCGCTACTAAATCCTTTAAAAATGTACTCTTATGTTAATGTGTTCTGTTCGTTTAGAGTTTTCATAATTGTTTGCCATAGATGTAGCTCCTAAATTATCTACAATAAGCATATCATTTTCCTTGCACACTAAATAATATAGATTTTAAGACTTTCGTGGTTATTCACTAAATGATTATCACAAATATCAGGTTTCTTGCCACGGTATGACTTCTTTTTATTTTCCCGATATTTCGGAACGGTTGCACGCTCCATGGTCACTCCGAAATATCGGGAAAATAAAAAGAAGTCATACCGTGGCAAGAAACCTGATATTAGTGATAATCATTTACACTAAATAATGTTCCTGAGCCACAGACGCCGCCGCAATATATTCCGACTCAGCGGATGATAATGCAACACATTGCTGTTTCTTGGAAAACCAAGCGATAGGATTTTCTAATTGTAAAATTTTGCCACCACTTACACTTTTTCTATCATTTTTATTTCCTGCCAGTCGGCATCAGAAAACCCATATAGGTTTGAATCAAGTGTCTTTGTGAAAATGAGTCCTTTTTCCTTCGTTTCCTTTAAATATCGAATAACTCTCTTCCCAGCTTTCCACAATTCCTCATTTGACTTATCTAAAAATCTACTGCGATATGATACTACAAAAGTCAAGTCCGGTCTTGTACTTACCGTCAGACACATTAGACTACCTATTAATTCTCTGTAAGGCACATCCAGTCTACTTGTATCATCATTATTTATAAGTATATTATAGTTCCTTTCCATAGGTGTTTTGATTCCTTTATATTGAGGCATTTTAAATTTTTCTAATATCCTTTCCACCATTTTAGTTTGTTTTGCCACTAGGGTATTTTAATTTCTTTTTATTTTCATTCCTAAAAATTTCTTCATGTATCCTAATTCTTTGGATATGTATCCTAAACTATGTATCCTATGTATCCTAAACCTCTTTTTCAGCTTTGTCCTTATCTTTTCATAATTTCCAATAAATATTATATCATCGACACATATTAACATCCAGCAATCTTCTGTGTAGTACAAGCAATAGTCATAATCTGCGCGTTCAAAATCATTTATCTTCGCGAAGTCGTCTATTATTTCGTTCCAGCATTTAGGAGATTCGACCAACCCATAAAGCGCTCTATTAAGTTTTAAAACTTTATTTTAATACGAAATAGTGTTGTTTGCTGATGACACATCCTTGATTTTTAAAACAGACAGACATGACGTTAACTATGACCATATTAATGATACCCTCTCTAAGGAAGTTTATTGGTTTAATGCTAACAATATATATCGTCCACATATATCGTCTCTGGCCAGCAGATTAAGCTCCGCTGCAAACGCAGTCCGCAGAATACGTGAGCTTACCGATGTTAGTACTGCTAGACTAGTTTACTTTAGTTACTTCCATAGTATAATGTCCTACGGGATTCTCATGTGGGGTAAAGCGGCACATATTCAAACCATATTTGTATTGCAAAAACGAGCGATTCGTTCTGTGTACCGTCTAGGCTCTCGGGTTTCTCTCATAGAAAAGTTTAAGGAGACTGGTATCATGACTGTGGCATCACATTACATTTACTCAAATATTTTATATGCCCGTAAAAATATACATAATTTCAATAAGAAAGAAGACATCCATAATATTAATCTTAGAGCTAAGTCCAAACTCATGGAACCACGATTTCGTTTAACAAAGGTAAACAACTCTTTTATGGGGAACTGTATACGTTTTTACAATAAGATTCCGGAGCATATATTAAGTTTATCATTTCCTAAGTTTAAAAACTACTTACATTAAAAATATTTTGATCGAAATATCATATTACAAAATTG